ACTTCCCAGACCTGAAGGACATGAGTTTATAGAATGAAAAAAAGAATTCACTTAACACAGAGCAAATGAATAGGAAGAGTTCACATCAGGGCACAAAAGAATGCAGTATTGGGAGGCCAAGGCTAAAGATAAGATTTCAAATGCTTCAGAGAAAAGATCACTTACAAAGGTTCAGGAATTAAAATACTATCGTACTTCTCACTGATAGTACTAGAAGCTAGAAGACAGTAGAGCATGTACTTTTGCAATAGCTAGGGAAAAAATGTCCAACTCAGAATTCTTTTTCTTTCTGAACCATCAGGTGAAGGGTAAATATAGGCTAATGACATCTCACATGCACACATTCTCTGCAGTCATCATCATCATAACTGACACTTTTATAGTGCTTACTCTCTGCTTCCCTTCAGTACTTTACAGCAGCAAGATGAGGTGGACGCTAACATTTCCCTGTTTTATAACTGGGGAAACAGGCATAGAGAAGTGAGTTCTCAAGGTCACACAGCTGGTCAGTAGTAGAATTGGGATTGGATCGTGGGCAGTCTTGACTCTACCTGAGGATGTCCTCCACCCACACAAAAAGATCCGAGAGCTGAGATCCACCACAGAGCAAGGTGAGAGGAATTCCCAGGTTGGAGGTGCAGGGTTGTCATGCTCCAGGACTGTAGCAGTACAAGTGGGTCCAGGTTAGAGTAGATGGATGAAGGACTCCAGGAAGAAATGGAAGAGGTTCTATTCCCTGGTGTGTCTGATCACGTCCCGAGTGATGTTTGGGCATGCGAGAGTCATCTCATGTTGGAGAATGGATTAGGAAAAAAAAAAAAAAAGCTTATGAAAGGGGAGGTCATTACCATAATATGTCCTGTGGCTTTGTTTTGGGCGATATTTGTGTAGCCTTTCTTTTTTTTTTTTTTTTTTTTTTTTTTTTTGAGACGGAGCTTCGCTCTTGTTACCCAGGCTGGAGTGCAATGGCACCATCTTGGCTCACCGCATCCTCCGCCTCCTGGGTTCAGGCAATTCTCCTGCCTCAGCCTCCTGAGTAGCTGGGATTACAGGCACGCGCCACCATGCCCAGCTAATTTTTTGTATTTTTAGCAGAGACGGGGTTTCACCATGTTGACCAGGATGGTCTCGATCTCTTGACCTCGTGATCCACCCGCCTCGGCCTCCCAAAGTGCTGGGATTACAGGCTTGAGCCACCACGCCCGGCTTGTGTAGCCTTTCTAAGGTAAACCTTGAGTATTGATTTCACTAAGAGATGTGGTTTGGGGAGTATGGGGGAGAAAGTGCTTTTTCGGCATGTGTGTGTATATGTGATGCCAGTGGGCAATGTAAGGGTGAGATCCTCTGCTTCATAGGAAGGCAGGAGATGCTGCTAGTATCTGAGACCCAAAAACCAAGCACTGCCAGTATAGTGTTTAGAAATATGGCAATAAATACCAGAGGAACTACTTAAAAGGTTTGAAAAAGGTTGCCTCTGGAGAGCTGCAATTAGGATTTGGAAAGAGTGAGGTAGAGGACTGCTACTATTTGATATAAGAATTGTATGATTTTGTTTTTTCTCAACATACACACAAAATCCCGAATTATCCTTGACTTTTTTCTTCCTGTCACAGCCTGTATCCTGTCCGGGTCAAAGCTTGTTGGTTCTATATTGAAAGTATGTCTGGAGCCTGATTCCTTCTCACCACCTTCCCTGCTGCCACTGGGTCCAGCCACTCTCGTCTGGATCATTCCAGTGTCTTCTCTCTGGTCCCTGAGCTTCTCTTCTTGCCCCTCTCCAGTTTCTTAGCAGCAGTCCCCAGACTGATCGAGTTCAGACACAGTCAGAGCGTATTGCTCTCTTGTTCAGAGCTCTGCAGTGGCTTCCTAGTATACAGAGTCCAAGCCAGAGTCCTTCAGGTTGCTCCACATGTCCACACACCCCACTTCCCTGCTTTATTTTCTCCAAAGCACTTAGCATCGTCGAACATATTTTTTGTTTTGTATGAGTTTATCTTGTTTCTTATCTGTCTTCCCTATTTACAATATAATTTCAGGAGGGTGGGTTTTTTTTCTGGCTTGTTCCCTACTTTGTTTCCAGAGCCTAGAAGAGTGCATATAGTAGGCACTGAATAAACATTTATTAGAGAAAGGTATTGCTTTATAAAAATAAACCAATTAAAAATACCAGTTTTTTAAGCCATTTGCCATAAGCTAAGCTAAGCAGCTTTTTGTTTTACTGGCTTAAGTTTCCTTAAGCAATTTGAACTGAAATCCTGAGGGGTCCAGTTGAAAAGATTTGTTTCCATCTGGAAAATAACCATATGCTGTCCTGAGATGACGTACCTTCAAACATCTGTGCCATGTGCTCTCAGACCTGTTTACAAAAATTTATCATAGTACTTTGTGGAAACTACTTACTACTCAAATGATTGAGTTTCACAACCTTTGGCAGCTAAGGTTTCAGGCAGAACACTAGTAGATATTTTTAAATCACAGAATCTGCTTAGTGAGTATAAATAGGCATCACCCACTCGTCTTCTATAGGGAACACACACCTAAGATTCCAATTCTTCTAACGTGGGGAAAACCACCTCCAAGGCAAACCATCAGTTTGCCTTCTACTTGCTCGTAGCAGTTCTTGCCATGTGTTGCTGCTGAGTGAAGCTATTTGTATTTCATGAGGGTGTTCTCTTGCCTGGCTTTCTAACCTATTCCTTTAGGAACTTCAGATGCCAGATTAGTGATATCACCTGTATTTCCATGGCTACCAATCACAGTTCTGCATGCACCTGATTAGAATTCACAGTAGGAGAAGCTGGACCATGTGGAGGAATGGTCTTTATCCCAAAGCAAATGCCGTGTTACACAGGGAACAACAACAACAAAATAAGCAAAGTGAATCACGTGCGTAAATCCTTTCTTCTTGCAAATTAGTTGAAAGATAACCTCCCTCCACACCCCTAATTTCTAAATCACATAATATGGGCAATCCTTGAATCCACAAAGTACTTAAAATACTTCACAGTCCTGTTTCTCTGATGTGGAATCTGTTAGATTATGGCTCCATTCATAGAATTAGTCAGTCGTCCCTTTGTATCCCCAGGGGTTGGTTCCAGGACCATGCAGATAGCGAAATCTGGATGCTCGAGTCCCTGGTAGAAAATGACGTAGTATTTTCATATTATCTACACACGTCCTCCTGTATACTTTAAATCGTCTCTAGATTACTTACAATATCTAACACAATGTAAATGCTATTTAAATAGTTACACGATATTTACTTGTATTATTTTTTATTGTGTTCTTTTTTTTTGTTGCTGCTTTTTTCCCAAATATTGTCTAGCCAGGGTTGGTTTACTCTACGGACACATAACCCATGGATACCGACTGTAATGAATATTTGTGTTGCCTGCTTACTATGGGACCAATGAGATTTTGCAGGGATGTTTGTGGTGGTGTTTGTTTTGGTGATTTTACTGAGCTTAACGGTGTTAAGTTACGTAGATTTCAGTAAGACCTTTGGCAAAGTCTTTCCTTGTAAACAAATGTGTGCATTAATGGATTACACAGTTAATAGGATTCATTGCTGGTTATAGACTTCTTCCCAGGATGGTTTTTGAGAGAGCTTGATCATGGCTGTCTCAGGTCTCTGTCCTTGCCCTGGCCTGTTTGCGAAGAGTATTGAGTATTTGGATAATGACTTAGTGGACGTGTTTACTGAGCGGACATGTTTATTGAGTGGTGGATGAGAAAGCTAAGAAGAATAACTCAAGCTAAATGTCAACCAAGGATTTTAAAAGATCACAGCCTGAAGGATGAGTTGAAAGAGACAGGATGAAATTGAATAGTGATAGTTGTTGTCATTAGTTTAAAAAATCACTATAACATTTTACACTGGAGAACTGGCCAGACCGCTGAGGAGATAGAAGGCACTTGAATTTTGTGAGATCAGTGGGAATTAGGTGTGTGTATTATAGTTGTCTAAATTAAACAGCCAAGGGTCATAGTTACAGTTGAAAAGATACAGAACAAAGGCGATGCAGTCACTGCTTCTAGTGAATTCTGCAAGAATGGCCAGGTCACACTTGGAATGTGGTACACAGTTCTTGCTGACGTAGTAAAGTGTTTTTATTGTGTAATGTTTAGTACATACAAAAGAGAACATATAAGGCACAAGTTAGGAAGTAATAGAATGAATGTCTAAAAGCCTTATTCCCAGTTTAAGAACTAGAATGTTCTGAAAGCCATTGAAACTGTATTTTCCTTCCATACTCCAGAAGTAACTGTTAGCTTGTTAATGGTTATTTTGTTTTTGAAGAAGAATTCTACCGTGTTATGTGTGTATTTCTAAGCAATACATTTTTGCTTGTTTTTGAATTTTACGAAAATTCGAAAGGATATCACACTGAACGTAGTAACACTTCATGCCACTTGCTTTTTACATTCAACATTGCTTCTAAGCATCATATATATCGACCTTTCCCAACCAGAGCTCCTCATCTTGACCACAGAACACAGAAAATAATTTCAGTGTATGTTCTCAATCCTGTCAACTGATGTGTAAATAGTTTCCTAAATTTTAGATGCATAGGAGGAGAAGTTACCTCATTATATAAATGGATGCCTTAGGCTGGGCAGTGAGTTTCTCTCTCTATTGGAACCTGGTTGAGACAGGCCCAATTGTTCCATGTAGCTAGAGTTAATTCATTCTTACTGCTGTAAGACATCCCATTTGTGAGCACACTAAAATTTTTTCATATGTTCTCCTATGGATGGAAATTTGCATTGTTTCCAATTTTTTGGTTTTGTTATTGTGAACCATTCTGTGATGAACATTCTCGTGTGGATCTGCAAGTGTACAGGAAGAAAACATTTCTCTAGGCATACATCTGAGTGAAACTGCTTGGGTCTGCTGTGTTTTACTGGGGACACTGACAAACTGATGCAAGTTCAGAGGAAGGCAGTTAAGAATAATTTAACCATGTCATAACCAACCTTTGTTTTCTTTATTTTCTTAGGGATTGAAGAGGTTAATGACTATTTGCCAGAAACACTTTCCTACCGATCCATCCAAATGTGTGGAGTACAATGCACTGTGAGATGTGTGTATGGTGTGTAAATAACAATAAGAAACTTACAGAAGCAGGCTGTGGACTTTTGGAATTACCAACAGGAATGAGGAAAGAAGAAAACTGGAGTTTCCAGTCTCTGAGTTCTACCTGATGTCACCCTTGATTGGTTTTCGGAACTCTGTTGGTCTTCGTAGCGTATCTGACTACAAGCTGATTTTTCTTTCTTGCCTTCATTTTAATTAGTCCAAAATTAAGTTTTAAAGACTTTCTCACAATTTAAATCCGTAGACAACAGAAGGGGGTTTAAAACCCTTTTTTCAGTTGACCTGAAAGTTGTGGTTAGATGATTAAAAAGAAACATTTGAGGATGGACTTAATTGTTTCAGTAAAATACTATAATTTGCATATTGTCTTTTATGTAGTATTTATATAAAATATTTTTATAAATTTCAAAAACATGGGACCATTGAATGAAACTTCATAGTCTTTAAATGTTGCCCAACTTTTGCCATCTTGCAATAGAATTTGAATGTAAATATTATTACTGGTATAACTCAAATGTTATTTTCTTGCATTTCCAAGCTTGCTTTTATCTTCTAAGAACTGTCAATTTTATTATTTGTCATCTCTCAGGACAGATACAATTAACAGGAAATAGAAGTGTGAAGAAACAAAGATGGCGTATCACACCAAACTAAGTTCAGAACAAAGTAACCCCAGTGCATCAAGGTTAAGGTGGGACAGTGGTTTGTGATGCCTGGGAGAGTGGGGAAGCTGTGATGAGGTCAGTAGACCCAGGCAGACTGCGTTCCCAGTCACACCTGTCAACAGAGGAGGAAAGTGCCAGTACCGATTTCCCCACCTGAGAGTTGGTCCTGGCCTTGGTTTTCCACAGTGAGGGCTCCTTCTCATGTTGCACGGTGTTATACTCAGATCATTGTGACCTGTCACTGTGCTTTAGAACCCGAGAGGCCTCCGTTCATGTGGCAGCGTGGGTGAGCGGATGCTGCCGGAGCAGGTGGAGTGGCGGCGCTGGATAGCGGTAAGAGCGGGGGCTCCGAAGGCAGAATGTCCAGCTTCCGGTCCTGCTCAGCACCTGCTCACTGTATGACTTTGGCAAGCAACTGGATCTTCCTAAGCCTCAGCTTCCTCGTCTTAAATGGTAGTTAATAATAATAGTCCATGCTTCACAGCATCACTGTTGGGCTCAAGTGGAATGCTTAGCACACTGGCAGATAATAAGAGCGCATCGATATTAGTTGTGTCATTGTTGTCTCTAGAGGGGAGCCATAGTCCCTGTCAGGAGCCCTGTGTTTAGGGGTGCTGTGTACTCACATAACAATAACAGTAATAATCATAGTGTCAGCTGCAACAGCAGTAATCATGGGAATTTCATGAAGTATTTACTGTACCAGCCCTATGGCTGTTCCTGCTTTCAGCCAGTTCTGCATCTAGAAGGGCCGAGGATGTGGTGGGAGCTGCGTGTCGCCAAGTAGGTGGGCGTAGATTCACAGTGGCCTATTCTGGCCCCTCTTGGGAAGGTTCAAAAGCCAGTTTTGGCCACTGTGGTCTTCTGCTGTGCCTGGACAGGATCGTTTCTGCTGGTGACATGCATGGTGGTGGCTGAGGTCCACTGTCTGGAATTGAATTGGGATTCACTACCTCCCACTCCCCCATTTGGAAATGTTTTCTTGTGATTAAATCAGAGCTTAGTGGAACTTAACCAGCACAAGTGAGAGACAGACTTTCATAAGATAGGACAGCAATCTAGAGTTTCGTCTTGTGGTCTTATATAGGACCTATTTATAAATATTGTTGAATGAATACTCCCTAAGTTACTTTTTTTGTTTTTACCATCAGGTCACAGTAGGATAGTCCGTTAATTTCTTGTTGTCTTCTGTTTTGCTGTTAGTATTCCACATGAAGAAACTATGTCATGTGACACCAGTACCCCCTAAAATTCGTCAGTGTGGTTAGACAGTTTGGGGAAAAAACGGAATCTGTTCCATAGGGCTGGGCTGTGACTGACCATTTTGGGCTGCCATGGAGGGAAACTAAGAAATTTCCATTTCCCCGAAATTAAAGATCTTCAGATGACTGCAAACAACATGAGGATATATAGAAAAATGCCCTTCCCCAATTTTCAAATCATGAAAATTTGGTTCAGCAGATACTACCTATTTCTCTTTGTAGTTGTTTATAAGATCATAAAGACCTTTTAAAATCAGTCACAGCCCTTAGATAAGTATATTTCTCCCTTTCTTCCTCCCCAGACTCCTATCCATAAGAGTTGTCTCAGGATTCAAATTTAACCAAACAATGAGTTCCCTCAGCAGTAAATAGTGCATTTCCTAGGCGTATCATCGCCAGCTGCAGAGACAGAGCCGTATTTTTGTCAGTGTTGCAACACTGAGCCTGCAGCAATCTGGAAGTTGTGGCTGTGATTTCAATCTTTGGGGGACAATTAGGAAAGTAAAGCTGAGGCCAAAGGTAATTGACACGTAGAGAGAGACAGAGGACAGTCCGGATCTTGTAGGAAGAAGGCAGCGGTCCTGAGAGACCAGAGCTAGGCAGGCAGCTGTCACTGAGAATGGAACTTAGTAATCTGCTGTGGGCTCAGAGCACTCAGTGAAAACTCAGAGGACTAGGAAGCAGGCTTGATGGCAGTATGACTTTTTAATGCTAAGCTCTGCCTTCTGATAATTTCCTAACCTACTCTAGCACTTTAGATCACTCCAGGGTTTGATCTCACTAAATAACTTAGAAGTACAACCATCTTTGTGTTGGAAAGAAAGTAATAATATATTCAGAAAGAAAGCAGATTGGAAAACACTAGTGTTTACAAATCTTTGATAGATTTGAATTTGGGAATTCATATCATTGGCTCCTTTTCACCCACATGTGCCTGTCCTCACAACCCCACCACCCACTCCCAGCCACCCTGCCCCGCCAGGTTAATGCTTCTTAACACGGAAGGATGGTAGAACTAAGTGGGGCAGTTTGAATGAAAGGGAACATTAAGCTGAAATGTGCCTTGCCTTTGTCTGCATATCTGGTAGAACATAACTGAATGGAGTGTGCCTCCTCCCTCCCCCAGTACACTCCCATGAAGCCCCTAAAGAATAACTTTATCCCATAGCAATCTATGGTATGGTGTCAGATTGGGAGTCTTGAGCCGAAAAGCGCTTTCTCACGGCATATTGATGCAAGAGCTTCCAGCTGTCCAGAGCTCTAGAGCCAGCGCCAGTCCCCAGAGGGTTGCTGTGGGAACACTGTTATGGCAACTGGTTTTCATCACAGACTCTGCAGTTCCATTGGCTGAACTATAACCACACGCTAGTCCTTTAATGGTTAACAGTAACCTTACAGTGATTTGAAATTTAAAAATAATCTCTGGTGGTGTGGAATAGCTAGGGAGTGCAGTGTGGCCAGCCACACAGCTGTGGTGTGAGCTGACCCCATTCAGAATTTTGGAAAAATGCTCTTTATTTAATTTTTTTTTTTTTTTTTTGAGATGGAGTCTCTGTCACTAGTCTGGAGTGTGGTGGTGCAATCTTGGCTCACTGCAACTTCCACCTCCTGGGTTCAAGTGATTCTCTTGCCACAGCTTCCTGAGTAGCTGGGATTACAGGCACATGCCACCATGTCCAGCTAACTTTTGTATTTTTAGTCGAGATGGGGGTTTCACAATGTTGGCCAAGATGGTCTTGATCTCTTGACCTCATGATCCACCTGCCTCGGGCTCCCAAAGTGCTGGGATTACAGGTGTGAGCCACCGTGCCTGGCTGGAAACATGCTCATTTAAAAAATGTATTTTGGACCGGTTGTGGTGGCTCACGCCTGTAATGCCAGCACTTTGGGAGGCCAAGATGGGTGAATCACGAGGTCAGGAGTTCGAGACCAGCCTGGCCAATGTGGCGAAACCCTGTCTCTGTTTAAAAAAAAAAAAAAAATGTATTTTGTTGTTGGCCAAACAATTTATCATAAAAGCATTGATGAATTATTTTCCCCCATTGTAAACTTTATGCAGCTTGCTAAAATGACTCCTCATGTGCCTCTGCTGGTTATTCTCACTAGTCCACTTCCTTCTGTTTACTCTCTTCTGCCTTCTCTAAGCACCAGCTTCCTCAACTTTTTCTCACAGTGTTCAAGCGTAACACATGATTTTACCAACGAGAGCAGCTGAGAAGTTTTGAGCTGCGGTTCGGTGATCTCAGACTCATTCACTGAGCTTCAGGCCAGGACAGTCAAGAGTCACTCCCACAATCTGCTGTCCTGGCCTTTCTGAACTCCCGGTTTTACAACTTGCCAAAACTAAATTGCCTTTGCTGCCAATCGCTTTTCCTTTCAGACTCAGGAGATGTTAGGACCAACGAGTGTTGCAGTCTGAGCCTGCCTTTCTAAGTTTGGCCAGCCTGGGAAGTAGGAGTGTAAAAACTGTAGAATTTGAAACTTTTGGACCACAACTCAAAGCAAGCAAGTGCATGGAGACCCAGTAGTACATGTACACAGGCACGTATACCTGAAACAAAAGCACTGGCCACACCACGTACAAGGCATTCTTATGTTTTCTACTCTGTTGTTTCTTTTAAAAATAGGTTGGTGGTTATTGTCAAAATTGGTTGACAACTTGTTAGTGCACGGTGGTCAGTTTGAAAATCACCGATTTTTTATTTCTAAAATTTCAAACTTTTATGGTAATTTCAGGGGTACATGGGCAAGGTGTGCGGGTTTGTTACATATGTAAGCACGTGCCATGGTGGCTTGCTGCACAGATCATCCCATCACCCAGGTATTAAGTCCGATGTCCCGCTAACTATGCTTTCTGAACTTCTCCCCCACAATCCGCCACCCTCCAACAGGCCCCAGTGTGTGTTGTTACCCCATGTGTCCATGTGTACTCATTGTTCAGTTCCCACTTGAAAGTGAGAACACGTGGTAGTTGCTTTTCTGTTTCTCTGTTGGTTTGCGAAGGATAATGGCCTCCAGCTCCATTCATGTCCCTGCAAAGGACATGATCTCATTCCTTTTTATGGCTGTGTAGTATTTTATGGTATGTATGTACCACATTTTCTTTATCCAGTCTGTCATTGATGGGTATTTAGATTGATTCCATGTCTTTGCTATTGTGAATTGTGCTGCAGTGAACATACATGTGCATGTGTCTTAGAATGGTTTATATTTCTTTGGTTATATATCCAGGAATGGGATTGTTGGGTTGAATGGTATTTCTGTCTGTCGATCTTTGAAGAATTGCCACACTATGTCCCATAATGGTTGAACTAATTTACACTCCCACCAGTAGTATAAAAGCGTTTCTTTTTCTCCACAACCTTGCCAACATCTGTTATTTTTTAACTTTTTGATAATAGCCATTCTGACTGGTATGAGATGGTATCTCATTGTGGTTTTGATATGCTTTTCTCTAAGGATCAGTGATGTTGAGATTTTTTTTTTAATATGTTTGTTGGCTGTATATATGTCTTCTTTTGCAAAGTGTCTGTTCATGTCCTTTGTCTGCTTTTTAATGGAGTTGTTTGG